ACACTAGAACAGGTTAAAGACACAACTGTAAGTTAATGTAAGAAATCTGAGTAATTAACTTAGCTAGGCTGAATTTCCTGTGATATATTAAATCGGTAAAACTTATCCAACCAGTTGGAGTTTGATTTACTCTTGGCAGTCTCTCACTACCAATTAGAGACAGTCAGAGAGCCAAATATGAGGGTCCATGCCATCAACTGCTGGTCCAGCCTCTCCCAGGGGGACTTTGGAATAGAAGCGGGTTGAACCACTCCAAGGAAGGCTACGGAACCCCTCCTGTTGCTTTTGTCTCCCTCCAAGGACAAATCTCTCATGTGTCCGGAAGCAGGAAAAGTCCCTGGCTAACAAGTCCTGCCTTTTTATCCTTGTTTAGCCCAAATCAGTGTTTCAAGTGCAAAAATGCTGAGCTATACTATCGGTGTTAACACATACACTGCAACACCACACGTGGCGTTCAAGCGCAAGGAGCAGACCTCAAGCTGTGGGCTACCTGCCGCGGCAAGGCAAGAACTTGCACTGGAAGTCACGAAGCACCTGCTAGTTAAGGGACAACTCTGCTCTAACCCACCATCCAAAAGGCGGCTAAAATACATTCTTAGCACCCCCAACTTACTTTTTGCACTTGCCATGGGCAGTTACACCACATAGCAGAGATGTCACCAGATAGTGTTCCTAACCTGCAGGCTATGCGGTGGAAGTCGCCGCTGTGGCTGGGTAACTAAGGAGAGATCTTCCTTAGCATGGATGAGCGAGGAGTGAACTCGAATTCTGAGCTGGAAAGGGGGTCATTCTCCTCTGCCATCTCTCCATGTTCAAAGACACTGTAATTCCTGTCACTCTCAGAACTCTTCTTGCTTTTAAAATGACAGGAATGAGTTACCTGAAACGTGCCAGGCTGAAATAACACAAAAATTCCTTATGTGTGGTTGACCAACATAACACACTATACAAATAGGGGGGCTCATTTACTGCCCTAAGTTGCTTTTCACTGGCTAAGTAACAGCAACCAACCATGACCAGTTACAATAGTCTTATTAGGAAGCATGAGGTCAGGCCAGCAGGACTTCTGGTTTATTCTGTACTTTATGGAAGAAAGAATTAAGTATACCTTGACATAAATCAAAACCCCCGAAGCATCTTGGGTAGTACGCAGCAGTACTCTGCTATTGCAATAGTTAAAAAGCTTTCCCTAAGTCTCCCTTGCTACAGATCAAGGGAAAGGCAGGATGGGATTGGCTTAAAGGGCACTGAAAACACCTGAACAGGAGCTTTACTAAAACTATTGACACCCTTGATATCCCAATATTCTCTTTGCTCAACTAAACCAAAGCAGTATCTCCTGCACCTTACTTGGGTTGCCGTACTCTCCCATTTGTCTATAGATGGTGCCCAAAACTGGACACATTATTCCAGCTGAAGCCCAATCAGAGCCAAATGTTCAGAAGTGAGTAAGAAATTCCAGCGCCTAACAGAGTAATACTGCTACTGCATGCCGTATTTTTTTGTGTGCAAACCCAACACACATTGCTGAGTTACCCCTGCCTGCAACACTCATCTCTACAGCACTGAAATAATAATAATAATGCTGCCTGGTCAGAGATTCCCCAGTGGTAGTTTTAAGTGGGAATTTCCATTCCTAAGCATGGTATTTCACCAGCATTATTACATGTTGGGGTTACTTCTCTAACTTATGAAGATCTTTCTGAATCCAAATCCTGTCCTTTGCAATCACATTTCCTCCCAGTCTAGTGTCACTTGCAAATATAAATAAATAATTGTGGTTGTTTGTATAAGAACATTGCACAGGAAACATCTCATTCAAACAGCAATGTTTTCTCTAATAATTAACGTGTTTGATGTCGGGAATCAGATTTCAATGCAATATTACACTACTCACAGTAGTAGCTACCAGGGGCACAGTACAGTAATGCTCGAGCTACCACAGATAGAAGCTGAGACTACAATTTCAGGAAAGCACAGCACAGTGCTTCTCCAGCCAACTGATTTTCTACTACCCTGCCAGCACCCAAATCAGCAGTCTGCTGTGAAAAGATGACTCTGTGAAGGCTAAGTCACGTTAGCATTAAAACAAAATAAGTATTGATAGGCAAATAGATATTAATAGTGCTGCACAGCACCAGAGAATCCACTCTAGTATCCAACAGAAACAGAATATTTATACTCAAAGGGCTATCTGATCCAAAAGACAGTATCTTGATGTACTGTTTTTGTATTGGAAATGTAATGGTATGAAAAGTATATTACCTCATGACAGAAGAGATCGCCAAGGTTTTGCTGTTCTTCCTTAGACAGCAAGTCCCAGTGGACTGTTTAATAAGAATGCATTCATTTACCTAGCCAATTTTCTTTTTCTATAATGAGTTTGCATTGTAATATGCACGTACTTAAGAATACAAGTTAATTAATGAACACAGTTTCTATATTTATATAGAAGACTTGTTCTACAATTTTATTAGACTATGCAGCCTTCTCTAACCATTGTCTGGTTTTTTTCTGTATGCAAAGATCAGAGAAGCATTCTCAAAAATTATTTCAACGTGGCTGAAGCACGGAGAATTTCTATTATCCATTCTGTAAATAAAACAATTCAAGCCATCCTGAATATTTATATAAATACGTATTAACTTAGTCATTTGATATATGTCTCATTGTCTGTTTTTTTTCTGTATGCAAGCATATGATCAGAGAAGCATTCTCAAAAATTATTTCAACGTGGCTGAAGCACGGAGAATTTCTATTATCCATTCTGTAAATAAAACAATTCAAGCCATCCTGAATATTTATATAAATACGTATTAACTTAGTCATTTGATATATGTCTGATTTTTCTGCTTCCAAGTGTGAGCCTTTTTATTGCGCATCTGTAGATAGCTGCCAGCAAGACACAGTATCAGAGGATTTACAACTGTGAGGGTAGAATGCCATCTGCTGCTATAGTTGCTGCTACAGCAGGGTAAAAGAGAAGAATCATACAAGTGCTGTCTTCTGCCTTTCTCTTAACCGTAAAAAAAAAAACCACACCATACAAACATCTCATTTTGTTTAATTAAAAAGAAAAACACCAGAACTGGGAGCTCAGGTGCCTTTACACACAGCTTTTGTTATAAGATCTGGTAAAACAATGTGGTATTTTTTCACGGGATTCTATCAGTGCAGACGAGAGGCTGCAGCATCAGGCCTACTAGAACAAAACAAAAGTGTAATTTCACTGCAAACTAAATTATACTGGTAGATAATGTAATCAACCATAAAAAAAAAAAGCACACTTTGAAAATGCATTTGCAGTGCACTACACAGTTGCTGGGCTGGGGCTAGAATTTAGACACACCCCTTGAACTGTTAGGCACCATGAAAGCCTTGCAAAAAGCCACCTCCCCAGTTTGGTTACATACAAGACACATGTCATAAGCAAAGGCAGTATATAGAATGTCATGTATGACCAGTTTGATTCGTGTCCACTTATTGGGGTGGGGGGTATGGGGGGAACTAAAACAATAAAATGAAACAACATAAAACTGTTTTCTTAAATTCATCCTACAGACTTCCCCCACGTCCTTATGGAAAAAGATAATTATTTTTGTTCAAAGCACTCTTCAATAAACCAGATGGAAGCATAAGCCAGCGTTTTGCTCAGTAACTAACCATTTAACCTTCCCCACACAATGCAATCGCAGAGGCAGTCCTATGGCTATTCAAAACACATTGCTGAGCTGGATAAATTCATGTGTACGGAATTCTGGTGCAGTTGGCAAATGTCCAACAGAACACCAGGTGATTCTGTATACATAATGCTCTTCGTTTTTCGCCCGCTGCTTCACCCACAAACAAACGCTTCTTCCAGCCTTCTGTAAGGATGGACATAAAAACCTTGGGCATACAATCTCCTATACCAATCTGTTACAGCTTATTATACATTGACAGGGCTTCTGCACGCAGTTACACCGCAATCAGTCAGAGCATAAAGTGAAATCAAAATCCCCAAAATAGGATGGAAAGAAAAAATAACCTGGGAATTACAACTACTGTGCAGCCATATTGCCTTTGAATTTCCATCAACAGGAGTTTTGCTAATGAAAATGCCAGGAGCATGAATATACTTTTAACTGTGGAACTTCTGTTACTTATTGTTAGAGCAGTGCACCATATTTAAAAATAACAAATCAGCTTTGACAATTGAAAGGAACACATTGCTTTCATGAAAAAGTAATTCAGTACAGTGTAAAACTTTATTTTTAATATTAAAGTGAGGAACCATTCAATAAAGTTGAAGTACAGTTCAAACCTGAAGGGATAAAAGAATTACTGAGATCGGGACCGTTCACCAGAAAGCAAGGATAGAGTACTACACAAGTAAAACCAAATCTCAGTCACTGTCACAATTCTTGCTAAAGATTTGCTTGGGGCTCCAACAGAATTCTTTCAGTCTTTCTCAAGATCAATTGATCTCATCTTACTGACATTCTCTTTATAACATCTATATTATGACTGTCCCCTACAGTTAAGGTGAATTAACAGCTGCTTCTTCAAAAATGCATCTCACTTTTCCCTCTTCCCTATTTAAAATGCAGAAAAGCCAAGTAATGTGAGAAATACAGTGGAAATCACATAAATGAGTAACTGTCAAAAGAACAGAACTATTAAAAGAATAAATCTTGTGTACCCAGCTGTGAAATATAACACAATATAACAGAACCCAGCTAAATGTTTGAAATAAAAACCGAAATGCAAAGTAACCTAAAATTGTTTAATGAACATAGCTGTTAAGATATTAACTCCTTGCATGCCAAACGCAACCATGGTAAGAAGCCTGCTCAGATGAACACCACATTAGTAAGTTATCAATCTATCCTTCTCTCACTCCATCTAGCCAAGCAGCCACCAGCTAAGCTCAAGAGCTTTTACGTGTACGATGTATCAGCAGGTCAATTTCTGCACAGGCTTTTTTATTTCAAAGGTTGTGGTTTACAGCAAATATTTACCTTTGAGGTGTGCTGAAGCTGGTCTCCCACATAGGTTTTACGGAACTGATCCAAGAACCACAGAATTGCCAGTTCTACTTTTTCATTACTAGACTGTGGTAACTGGGCATCCATCAAAGATATCAGCTGAAAAACTCTTAATGACAGAAAAAAAAAAAAAAAAACATTTTCAGAAAGAATTCTCAAATTAAAGTTTGCTGTCACAGCTAATTTTTTTAGGAACTGATCAGCCATTTTTTGTCTGAGCTTCTTCTAGGATTTTGTTTTGTTCAGATGCTAATTATGCTAATTGACCACTAATAAACATCAACATAATGCTTTTCTAATTACTTTGTCACTTGAAATTTTCTCAGATATGTATGTTAAACTTCAGTGAGTTTGTAAAAAGTTTTTTTTTTCTTCCTTAGAGCAGCAATTCCATGGTAGAAGAAACAAAGGAATTTGAGAAACAGGGGTGTCAAACTGTAAGTGCAAGGTAAGAGCTGGTCAAACTCCCTGGAAATTTAAACTACTGCACTTAGAAATAGATTTACGTATGTAGTACTGTCTGCCTTCCTTCTTCCTGCTTTTGCCTCTCCTAAAAACATCTGAACAAATGTATTTTTCTGACCTAAATGCTTCCTTGGTATATATCTCCATATTACTAGGACTGATTTATTCAGAATTTATTTCAGCCTACGTCAGCTAAGAACATTTAATACTTTTTTTTTTTAAGGAATATTCCTTTATTTAATATCCCATGTTGGTCTGCTATATTTTCCTTGAAATCCTAATTCCCTAGCAATTCAAGAAAATTATTCTCACCTTCTGCCAATTCTGAAATATATAGTCACTGCATTAGAAGTCAGTAGCTACTTCATCTGTAAGCCTGAATATTAAAACCTCTCACTTTTAATAAAACCATAGTAGAAGATTGCTAACACCAGACACCTCCAGGCTAGATCAGAAGGCAAGAAACACAGAAGCAAAAATTGTAAAGCTTTTCATCCAGTTCTAATTTGTATGCCCTTTTTCATGTATTAGCTAGTGCATGTAAATAACAGGATCAAATATGCATGCCTTTTTTATCATACACGTGGGTGAAAACAAGGATCAAGGAAGTATTTGCCACAATACATGGCAGTCTCAATAATCCCTAGCTTATCCCCCTTGCCCTAGAACTTGCAGAAACAAGACTCCAGTATGCACATTTTTAAATCTAGAACCTTCTTTTTAATCCAACCTCTAGTGTAAAAATAAGTCTAAATTGTCAATGGTTGACCTCTGCAATGGTTCCTCTGCACTTCTTCAGCCACGTTAATTAACATAAATAACGTAGTGCAGAAAACAATAGCCATAACTCACAACTAATAAAATGAACACACGTTAAAAGTATAATGCACAAATTATACTTGGCAGCTCTGCAAATTATACTTGCAGAAAACAGGCAGCTATATGGGCAGACCTAAGCACTGCTTATAGTAAGAGACATATTTGCCTTTTTTTGTAGTTTTGAAATTATATCCTTAATGACTCCGCTACTCAGGAGGATGAAACAAGAAAGATCAAAGCCAGTGGAATGGTCTCAATCCACAGAAAGTCAGTACAGTCCTGGAGTACCCACCAGCCAAGAACTGGACAAACGTTGAGGCATTAAGTTCGTATTTGCTGATAGTAAATGTCATTTAAAAAAAAAAAAAATTCAAAACAAGCAATATTTACCGACAGGATAATTCTCCATCCATGGCATCATGTTCGTCAGTACTAGTGTATGTTAATCGTCCTCCCACAAAAGTACCCACAAAATAGACAAGCCATGCCAGACGCCCTAACATTAAAAAGAAGAACAGTTAACAATTACAAACCATTACACCAGTACAATACACTTCCATAAGGTACCAGCAGTTCTATAAGGTATGAGACTGCGGAATGCTGTCAAGAGAATGGTTAGGTTTCTCCCTTTACGAGATATAAAACCCACCCAGACAAATAAGAAATTCTGAGCAGAACTGACAAATAAACTAGAACAGCCTATTAACCTGGACATGCTTTTAAATAAAACACAGAAGAATTAACCTAAAGTACAAATTAAGCAGATTCAGCCTGGTAAAATTAGATATCCAATTAATCTAGTATCCTCACCTGCCTGCCATAAGTTACTTGAAGGCATGGAACAATTTCATCTACAGTGTGGCTGCTACATCTACTAATCATAGCATTAGGAAGGAATTGAGACTAATTACAATCTACTGGTTTCTTAGGTCTATTCCAAATAGAGAATTCTTTGTAATATTAAACTACTAAAGTGATTTGCACGTAACAAAATATTTACGGCCTAAGTCAGACATGCTCTTCAAGAAAAGAATTTGTGAACACAGTTTTGACAGTCTCTGTGGCCTGTTTTTTCTAAAAGGGTTTGAAAGACAGAGCTCATCCATTTCAAGCCATGCTGTCATATACAATCTTCCAGATTATTCAGCTGTCGGTTCCCACGAAAGCATTTCTAGGATCCACTGGCAAAGTCCTTATCAAGTAAAGTACAATGCAAGAATCATAATTTCTGTAAACCTAAGGCGAGTTTCTGTATGTAGTGTATTTTGTACAGACTTCCAAATACCGAAATCCTGCTTTATAAATACGGAACTCTTAAATTTACAAACACTGAATTCAGGGGAATTCTTCTGGCCTCCCTCTACTGGAAAAATCACCAAAACCTCTGGCACATTAAGGTGCAGTATCTTTAAATTCGACCTACTAATATCTACTCAAAGCACATAGACTCCTACTCAGCATTCTGAGTTACTGAATCCAGTAACTAACAGTATCCTCTCTCAGGAAAGATGCAGTATTTTTCCTAAAGTAAGATCAAAACTAAGACCTAAATAGCAAAGTAACATATAGACCTGTTAGAATTTCAGAAAACACTAAAGGTTTCTTCCTCAATTGAAATGCACTGAGACTACAGAACAGTAAAGCTACTTTTAGATTCCATCTTCATTTGGAAAAATATACTTTGTAATAAATTAAAATAAATTGCTTGAAAATAACACAGTGAAGACAACTTGGAAGTTTCCATGTAAATTAAATCAATAGATACAAGGCTCCCCAATAAGTGAGATATTTACATAATCTAGAAGATGTCTTGCCCTCATTACTAGGATTTTACCAAGTGATGACAGTGTAGCTTGCAAGAGTGAAGTCAATACCCTGATGAATAAAGTGTCTTCCGAACACATTCTGAAATTTAACATAAAAGGATGAACTACAAATGAACAAGTGAGGTCACGTTATGACTATAAAACGGTATTTAACTTTGGATCTTCCTAACCCTAACCCTAATCTTTCTACGTACGTATCAGCACGTGCACAGTATCTACCAAAAGTCTTGAGCTTTTGTGTCATGTTTGTTTGAAATCTCCGATAAACTAGGCATCATTTACATAACATTAAACTTAACTCCCTTACCCTCATGTTTTGCATTGGTGTATTGTGAAAAACACAGAACTGAGATAGCAATGAATGCTCTACTTCCTAAACTCCTTCAAGCAGGAACAATGAATAGTTCCTAGATGTTCCAGTATCCTTATGGCATGAATCTGGTGACTATGTACCATAAGTGACTCTGTTTCAGTCAGAGCTATGTAGTACAGTCTGTTCTATTCACAGAAAAGATGCTGAGATCAAATATACATGAAAAGATAATGCAGAGTACGGAATAACACCACAAGTACAGGAAAGCATTCAGGTTTATCTTAAATCTCAGTCTTTCTTAAAAAAAAGAACCACATGAGCATGTAATCCAGCCTGAGATCTGTAACAGAACACACTTTGTGAAAGGGAACAAGTGTTGACTTTTGGGACAAGGCAAAACATGTGAGGAAGACTTCCAAATATCTTCTCATATTGTTCCTCTTCCATTCCTAGTAATCTGGAAGGGCAGTATCAGCTGTCCTACAACCAAGGTATCTCCCTGTTTCAAGGCCTGTGCTTTTTCACACACACGACACTTCCAGGGAAAACGCCACCAGACACACGGCACATTGCAGTACAAACAGCTGTCAGTTTAGGACACTAAAAGACTGCACTACCATTGGCAAAACACCAAGGAGCTGGAGCGTCTAGGTGAACAGACATAGCTCAGATGAATTTAGCTTTAACAGCCACTACAGAATGGCCTTCTGAAGATGGTATCAAAAAGCAACTGTGAAGCGGTGCTAGCTGGCTCAAAGAGCAGAGCCACCGCTTTGGCCAATCACCTTTTTTAAAATAAAAACTGCTCTTCCTTTTGACAAATTAGACTAGGTCAAGTACAGAGTTATTTTTCTGATGATAGCTCTCTTCTCTTAGCACAATACCAATTGACAGGTATGACTTCCCTCTTTTATACCTTCACTGTTTAAAAATTTCAGTGCATTTGCTTTTGCAATTACTGAGGCAGACAACATCTTTTCTTTTAGAAAATAATTATTGCTGTAATAATCTGTAATTATGGTTTATAACAGCAATAATCCCAAAGAAATCAGTCATTACCATAGATCACAAGTAATCATTAACTACTGTTAATGACCCATTTCTTGGGGATTATTGTTTTAGTAAACCATGACTGCATCACTATTGATACAGAGAGCAAGACAGTATAATAAAATGAGATCTTAATATTACATTAACTTATTTTGTAACATTAAAAGCCATTAAACATCTAAATTTAACTATGTATATCTAGGGGATATAACAGTTATTGTTCAATATGAGCACAAATGTTTAGTTTGCAGAAAAGAAACACAATATTTAAACTGCATCACGTTTTTTCTAATGCATAACAGAAATCCCCAGAGCACTGACACTGAAAGACTCCAGCTGACTGTTTCCCTTTGGCCCCCCATGACTGTGGAATGGAATATAAATTCAGACTGCAGCTGGTCAGTGAAATCAGGTATTTAATGAAAGTTCTCCCAGATAAAATTTGATAGGTGCACGAAAGAAAGTGGAATTAATAAAAAAGGTTAAGTAGAAGGTCTTGTATAAATCAGTGAAAAAATGGCTCCTACATAGTAGAAAATCAGCATATTCAAATTGTCAACAGAAGAACAGCAAACTAAACCACAAACATTTAATAGCATGCAAAGAAACAGCTGTATTATGCAGTAACCTGTCTCACCTTTTCAAAACAACACCATTTATCCATGTAAAGATGCAACAGCCATAGATAACTATATTAGGAAAGAGCCAGGAGTTATAAAGACAATTTAAGTGAGACACAGAGAGGCTTGAAATAGATATATGAAAAAAAAAGTAAAAGTACTTATTTTTACAACTTACATTACAATAAATAGAGTTTCCTGGAAATTAAGTAATTCATCTTAACAGAGCTGCACAAAGTAAATTAAGTTTTCTAATGTTACATTACTTTTTTTAGAGACAGATAAATGCAAACAGAACAAACATTTCCATTTTCAAAAAATGTTCATCAAGTTGCAGCTGGTTCTCGTGAGGGTACCTGAGGCATTAAAACAGTGATCTTCAGAAATAAAAGTTTTTACAGCTATCATGCTAATATTCTAAAGATGTAACAAGATGTTAAAACAAACACATCAACTGCCAACGTATCCTATTTAATACAGGGACAACTAGTGAAAATGTGGTGCAAGGTGGCTTGGATCATTAATTCCTAGTTTGAGAAAAGGTCTAGGTATATCTGCCATAAGATCACTACTCTTTCATATGCAAGTATATGGTTATCAGCACATAAAACACAGTCTACAAATTTAATTAAATACTAACCTTCCTGAACTGTGATTTCTAATGGATTCCTACTAGAAGAGTGCAATAGTTTTTGGTAGTTTTGTGCATTTTGGTCAAACAACTGTACAAGAAGTGTACAGCTCTTTTCGTATTCACACCTGCTAACTGTGCACAGTTGCTCCAGCTGTTGGAAAACTGTAGCTGTATCATCCAGTGGATCTTCTGAGCCATCTCTGGAATAGAGATAAAAAGTAAACACTTAGCCACTGTTGCTCAAAAGATGATGGTGTTTTCCTATCCAGATCTTCAACCACTGCCTCTGAACTGCAGAACTATAAAAGCCCTAGCAGCTGGTGAATACAACAGACAGACATAAGACTCATTTACACACACCCCCGTAACACGTCCACAGAAACATAGAACTGTATTCTATTTGTGCCTTCCTCTTAACCCATGTTTTAAGAAAGCAAAGAAGAGAGGAGATGCGGTTGGCAGTATGACACAGAAAGGTGAATCCTGAAGAGCTAAGGTCCATTGTGCCTGAACAGAGTATTAACAAGCAGCATCTTTCTCAGAGGGTGATGGGAGGAAAGAATAGAATATTTAGGAGAAACGGATTTTGCATATTCATCAAAATAAGCACAAGTCCATGACGCCAAAGCCAACAAGCAAGCTTCAGTAAAATACCATGCAACTGCTTTACAAATCCTTATTTTATTCTGCTGTAAACAAGCTGTGACCCCACGGAATGCCTGTAACAGAGGCCAATAGCTCTTGCCGTGAAGTGTAGGTTTACTCATTACACCAATCACAGTAAGAAAGATCTGTTTATCAGAAGGTTGACTTTTTGTTGCAGAGGCAACAATCTACAGATAATATCCAAAAAGCTAACAAATCTAACAGTGCTAACATCCAAACCTTGGAAGATATGCAGTGGCTGAAAATCCTAAAGGTCAAGATGGGCTGAAACAGGCATGTTCTCAGGTATTTACAAGTATCTGAAATAAAAGTTCTTCTGGTTTGTAGAAAAACTTCCTGTTGTAGACCCTTTGAGAAAGAATCATTAGTTCCTCACTCACCCTTACTCAAAGGGAGAATAACTATTCAACCCTCCTAAAAGTGACTTCTCTTCCATTGTGCCAAGCTACTTCTCCCTGTCTGAAGGACCAGCTGGATGGCTCCTGAATGGAGTTTGATGTTACTGACTATACCAGTTTGTAAGAAAAATGGTAATTCTAGAAATCAGGATTTGCTTGCAAAGATATCAGTCAATCTCCTTGCAGCAAATGGAAGAAATCTTAAGAAATCAGGTCCCAGGCATCCCATGTTTCTCAAGAATGGTCTGGACATTTGATATCAAAGTCTACATTTGATATTGCTGGCTACAGAAATGCCACAACTCAGGATCTTCATCACATAAGAGAGTGAGACCATACCACAGGAGTATAGAAATCACTCAGACATTAGGAACGGATACAGGCCAACAGCATTATTAAGACTGTCTTAAGAATGATACAGACTGGTAGAAGAGAAGATCAGTCCCTGTCAGCTTTCTTCACAGACTGGAAAGCTTACTCCTCCACAATGTAACAAGGACATCCAGAAAAACATCTCATCAGTAACCAAACAAAGAAACTGAATTTTCAGTACTGATGCTGATGAACTCAACAGAATACTTCAATGGAGCTGGTCATGCCAGACAGTCTGACCCAGAAGCTCAGCCCTATGGAGTGCTTCAAGTTCAGAAGCTGATATGGAATGTAAAGTGCTCAGTAGAGAAGAAAGGTGAGACAGGAAGGTTCAACCCTGAGATTCCATTACAGAAAAGTTGAACAGAGAAGATAACTTAAAAATGCCAAAAGAAGCGTAGGCTGGTTGAGAGAAGGCCCGGGAAAACTGACTGCGCCTGCAATCAGCTGTTTGTCCCTTCCTGTCCTAGCACTGCAACACTGAAAGCTCCCCTAGGTACTACTAACTCTTGCTCCCGAGACAAAGACAGAGAAGCTCATGATTCTGAACCAGAAGGAAGCCAGCCTTTAACATACCAGTAGTGATAGGGCAAATAACGCCAAGTATAGCTTAGTCACGAAACAGCAAGATGACACATTACATAATTTGAAGATGTAGTATTTTGGTGAAGCTGAGACAACAGGACAGCAATGGTGAAGGTGAATGCACTTCCTTGCACAAACCGAACACGACATGATCTCAGTAATGTACACTTGAAAACGAAGAGCAGACATGGCTTGTCCTGCAGTCCTATAGTCTGACAGGAGATCCTACCCGCAGGAATTTATAAAAGCACATCGAGAACAATAAATCCTTTCAGAAATACAAACACTTCCAAATATTTGCTGTATTATAGTGTGGACTATACAGCTATTTACTTAAACTATTAAAAAGATTTGAAGTAAGAAATTTTAAATTGGCCAATTTCAATCTTGCCCCCTTCTAGCTTGCTCTATTCAGTCTCACCCTTCCTTGTGTGTGGGGTTCATTCTGCTCTCCCCCATTATTCTACCCTCCAGGGCCCTAGGAAGTGACTCATCGAGAAAATGTGTCCCAGCTGAACAACACAGTTAATTTAGATGGTCTTAAAAAAAAGGGGAAGGGGGAGGGAGGGGAAGCAGAGGGAGACAATAGTTTTTTTTCCAAAACACAAAGGCCCCAGGGAGGAAAAAACAATTAGAATTTACATTTGATTTTGGTCTGGATTTAATAAACAAAAGGAGTAAAGTGATATCAGCTAATTAAGATAAACTAAAGAAATTGCCATAGTAATCAGAACCCGTGTACTTAGGTTTTAAACATACCCAAAATACAATTTGCCAACAAATCAGAAAATTGAACATTCGATAATACAGCTTTAAAGTTGCAATTACAAGTTTACCTTACAACTACAGGAACACATTCCAGCCTGGAAGTAATGTAAGCTTTTGTTATCTCCGGTGCATACGTGTCTAAGAGGTGAGGTTCTGCTGTTTTCACAAAAGGTACAGATGCTACCATTCTTTGCCACAGAGTTAGCAAATAATGAACACTATTTGGAGTGAACTCCCAGTGCTATAAGAAAACAAAACATACTTCTGTTAAAGCATCCCAGTGTGAAATTTTAGTAGGGAAACATGATGTTTTTATCTTGCGTAGTCTTACTCATTCACATGTCAGTCAAAACTGACACATACTATGGCACGCGTTACAAAGTAGGTCCAGAGTTACTTATAAGCACGCTCGCCTCCTTCAAGTGAAATCCACAATTTGAAACTCAGAGCTAAGCCTACATTCTTACACTGTGCATGGTGAGATTTAAGTACTATAAAAGGGCCATTCAAATATCCTCTAAAGGTTGAGCGGGAAACGGTCTAGAGCCACCTAACAGGAAATGAACAGAAATGCATCTTTTTTCCAAGCTTATGGAGCTGCCATTAGCAACTCAGGAACTCCAAGATAAAAGCTTCTGGCAAAGGTCACTATCTTCAGCTGTTATTCTGAAGACCAGAGAAAGGCTCTGGAGGAAAAGCTAAAATAACAACTGTAGTATTACTCTGTGTGCACACCTTTATCTTGGTGTGTTTCAAAAATAAATGCATAAAGTGATTAACACTGTGAAAATCGTGATCCTGTGGTACGTGTCCTTCTCATACAGATGCGTTCCCTCAAAAATTTAGACATTATTCCACGTAGCTTCTGAATCCATCTCAGATGGGAACTTTGCACCCAGCAGCTCAGCATATAGGCAACTCCGTTTGTGTACATGTATATATGCACAAAAGCAAAACTCAAGAACCTAGTCACTGGAGGCGCTTCCAAGTTTACATGGGAGCACAGGTGTAAGTGTTTTACAAGTGGATAAAGGGTTTAGTTGCTGGCTTTTTTTTTTTTTGAGGGTGAGGACTACAACTGGAGGATTAATATCCATCTATCTCCTACTTCAAATTGTCATTTTCTTTAAATCTTTTCCCATTAGAAAACTTCATAGGAAGAGTGGGAACCAGTTCTAGACAATTCAAATCTGAGTTAACATCACTGACAAAATATGTGAAGACAAGCCTCACCACCGCCTCAAAAAACACCGGCACAGAGAACCAGGATCAGACCTGTTTGTCATTCAAGAGTTGAAGAAAAGAGAACACTTCTGTACATATTCTTACCTGTAGGCTAGTAATAGTAAAATTTGCTATAAGTTGGATGACTTCTGGGTAATCTTTCACCATTACTAGCTCTCCTAGTTGATAGTTTGTCTTCAGCCGAGCCAAAAACCGACAGAATTCATGGTAATTACCCGGATCAGATAAACCCTAAATTTGAAGAAGCAAATTTTTAAAAGTTAACAGCTTAATGTAATAGAAATTTTATGAGCACTATTGCTAATTGGGTGACAATTTTATTTGCACAGTGCTTTTGCCTTAGTTTGAACAGAAAATCAAAGCAAACAGGTGTCTAGCTGAAAGCGCTTTTGATACATTCAGTAAGTTAATGAAGACTGTAACTGGGAAAACAAATCCACAGCTGTTTTAGCATTTCAAATAAATACAGTGAAAAATAAAACAATACCTGTGGATTTTCAAGTATTTGTTTCACTCCTTTGATTAGATTACTAAGATATTTGGCACGTTCTGGATTGCTGAATAAAGATCTCCTTGCAGAAGCGAACTGAACTAAACAAGAAAGTGCCTGAAGAATAAAAAAAATACCATAAGTTAAACTTTCAGAATAATAATCTCAATGTTTGGACGAATCCAACCTACTGCTGTACATTCTGTGGCTGAAGATTTTTTTGCAGCAACGTCTACAAGATCATTGAACACAATTATTGCTCAGTTTTAAAATTCCCTTTCGAAACAGCTTCTGACTTCATAAAAATAATTAAGTGGATGTTTTCTACGTGGCTGAGTTGGGTAAGGAAGGATTTGAATGCTTTCAGATTCAGAAATGAAAACAGGCGCTGAAGTTCAGAGGAAAGACATGGTAACCAGGCATTGAGCCAGGGGACTCATAATATGCTACTGCACAAAATAAACCAGAGTCTTTTGGACAAAGTATAGATGTAAAAATGCTATTTTCAAAAATTACGTGAATGTAAATCACTACATGTCACTTACTAACTGAGACAGCAGTGGTGGAAGGGAATGATACAAATCAAAAAACAGGTCCAAGGTTCCCGGCTCCAGGAAGACTATGGAAAAAGATAATTTGGTTTTATCACTCTCTGCAAGTAATAATTAAATATCTTTACTTTAATAGAATAATCTTCTTTTTAACAAAAACAGTAATAGTGAGATATCAGTGGAGTTGCGAATAAACTATGAATAAATGCGGTAATTAGTTCATTGTACAGTATTAAAGAAAGCACAATTCTCTTTTTATCACATTTCATCTATTCTATAGCCCATAAAGAACACTTCCCTTAAACTGCAGAAGAGGCAATACTTGGATAGTTGCTTACAGACCACCGTACCACAACAGATGTAGGTAGACTGATTTCTTCAGGTTACTATACTAACACAAGACAGGTTCCAGATACTAACGATGAGTTCAGTCTGTTTTTAAACAAATGCAACTTACAACAAAAGTTCCACAGACTAACCTGAAGTCTACAGACTGATAAACAGAAAAAACTTTAAACACAGAGTTACCAATTCACTGTGGAATCACATCAAATGAACTATAACATTAACCAATTTTATGAAAAGGTAACAACAGGGTAGAAAAAGTTTACCAATAATTCCTAGTGAAGTATTCCTGGAAATTAAGTAACATTTCAAAATTGTGCCATTTACAAGCATTATGAAGACTCGTGTAAAAGAGAGCATCACCTAACAAATGCTAATTTCCAAAAGCACTCCCAGCATTTTTGACTAAAGGGAGATCCTTCCATGGACAATTCAAAGTATTTAAACTAAAATCTTGGGAAAACCTATCCTCTTCTCCTCCCTAGGGTGTCTTGGGAAATTATTGTCACTTGCCCAAATTCAGCCTTTTGTCAGCATTCCCCTGCTTGCCATGCATTATGATACTCCACCTTCACACTGCAACTACAGGCTACTGTACCTTAATGCAGAAGGAAAGCAGTTATGCATGGAAACTGATGAAGAGTAGTGTTGTTGGAATAAGGAGGAATATCAAACACTGGAGTGTCATGCTATACAGGTAAGCCAGATTTAAACCTCCCATTTTGAGTATGGGAAACTGTATAGCTGCTTTAGTAGATGTAACAGATTTCCAATCAAGCTCATTTCTTCTGCCAAGAAGCAGGATAAATTAGCCTACAAGGAGCTCCATGCTGCCAGCGCTAAGCTGTGTCTGTTACCCAAGGTAGATCCATTAAAGCTAGCTTGGACGTACTTATACTAGACTGCCATCTGCCCTGTATAAGCCCAGGAAGTCAAACCTCTGGAGTCTAACCACCAAGAATCAACCCTTCTGCTGCCTTCCATAACAAACTCACATACAAGAGAGAACACACACGCTAAAAAAAGAAATTCACACCAATTTTCTCATCATGAAGAAGACAAGAGAGAACAGCCATGCTACAAATGCTGTACCTCTTCAAGGTGTTCATATGCCAGGAATGAGAATAGCATTCAGTGTCTAATTAGAATAATAAGGTTTACTGTGAATATCTATGTTATGGACTACATTTATTATTTCTGCCTATAAAAATAAAAACAGGAAAACTGTGAGCAAAATAGCAGATGTTTACCAGTAACTCACCAGCAAAAAAACTCTATTCCACATTAAAAATTATTTTAGATTTTCAAATATTGTGACAAAAGAAGTCATGCAATCCCTTGGGGATAGACTTCAGACAAATAATAATTATGATCCTTTCTTACTTGCTCTCCAGGTCGTTGGAATCTGCACAGTGCACAGGTCATCTGCAGATTCATCTGCTGAATTTCCAATGAAATCAAAATTAAGACAGTTTAGTACAAGCTTCAAAAGCTGCATTGCTAGACTCTGCTGCTGTTGGTCCTGAAGGGATAAAGGTTTTGCCAAGAGCTAAGGAGAAAAGAAATCCTGTTAGGCCACCTCCACAGAACATGCTTTAAAAACAATTTTGGAAAGGAAAACGTTTAGATATAAAACTGCAAATTTCAGAGTAAGAGAACACATACTAAGAGGAAAATAAATCCTTCAACAATAAATAATATAGTCTTAAACGGAAGAGGAAAAAAAGTAACTGTTACCACCTCAGGGACATCTTCCATGTCAAGCCAAAGCTCCCAGAATTATAAATAATTTTTAAAAGCCTGGTGAAATAATCCTTTTGCATAAAATACTTACAGGTAAAACTCAGCATGTCACTGATACTGTCTGTTAAAACAGTGATAACATTCACTACAAAAAATTAACAATAAGGTTTCATGTTTTTCAGTCACTCCAGCCCAGTGTGGAGTATATGTCATATACATCATACAGATCCAAAAAGAAAAAAAAAAATCTCAAAATTCAGTTATTCTTCAGTTTGATGTCCAGGTTGCTCAACAGTGTGAGTTTGACAGTATGCATCCTCAGAGACTGTTCCTTTGGTAAGACTAGAAAAACCTGGCATCAAAATGCAATGAAATCGACAGTCTGTAATCTGAAGTAGCTACTTAAAACACCTGTACAAATACAGCTGTCAGTGTCTCTACTGCTTTGTAACCCCTGTAGTGTCGGAATAAAATGGTACTTTGCAAACAAAACAAGCTGTTGGGATTTGGAAATCTAGGCTGAACATGCTGTATGTAAGAACACAGTTTTATCGATCCCCTTCTGTAATTACAATAATTTAAATAACATTTTATCTGACAAGAAATTACTATCCCAAGATTACACATGCAATATAAACGCACTGGAAACAAACCTCAAGTTCATTAATCACTGATGCAGTCTGTAAACATTAAAAAGAAAACTGACATAATTTTGTCTAGAAAAACAATACAATAAACGCAAATGCACCAGCTTTATCTAGTTCATCTGCTCCTTATTTAGATTCAAAGTCACATCCCTCAAGTTTATTAACAAGTTTCTAGATTCAGATGATAGGAATTAAAATCAACTGTGTGTCATTAGATGCCTCATTAACTTGATAACTGTTGCACCACATTAGAATTGACACTCAACTATGAGTTCAGCTTTGAAATTAACACTGAATTTCTGTATGTCTTGTACAAATATATTCTGTTTTGTGACTCATCCTCTCTGTAAGCATTAAACTCCTGGAATTATTTTAGTGATTCCACATTCGTTAGCTGAGTCTATTTTTCAGTGTATCATAGACATTGAAATATTTCTAAAACCAGATTCCTAAAGATGGCATTATAAAACTACTAATTATAATTTTATTTATTACTGGAAATCTGTGTGATGTCACTCAGACAAACCTTTCAACATATGAGAGACCAAAAAAACACCTGTAGGCTAGCTGCATTTGAAGAAAGCTGGAAGTGGCTACTGCAGGATACGGGCTCTCACAAATATATTTATTGTTTTGAAGTGTAATGGGGTTTACTATATCTAAGAAGATTCTTCCAAAATAATCAATTCTTCCTTTCAATTACACGACTTCTCCATTAACACGCAATCCAACACTGATTCAAAACACCCTATGTACATTAGCAGAGCATTCCCTCTTTAGAGGTGAGGGCTTACATATTACTTTATTGCTCTCTATATTAAAAAAATATACTGCCTGTCACCTGAGCACTGGTAGCTGACCACACGTGCCCTTCAAACTTAGTGCAAATGTGAAGTAAACAAGCTAGTTAGACTAAAACATGCTGTGAAAGAAATTTAAGCTAACACAGTTTATCTCATTTTTACAGCAGTACCTCAATCACATACCTCAACCTTGAGAAGTCTGCCTTTAGCCAAAAAGTAATTGCTACCCTTATCTACTGAGCCACGGGGATGGCAGATGTTTAAATTCTTAGCTTAAACATCTGTGTCCAAATTTCAACACCTATTTCCTTTGGTTTTTGAAAAACTGAATAAACCAGTACTCCCAAATAAGTATAGAATTCACCCTGAATAAAGACTCAAGGTGGGACAATTGTGATTTAGTTTCAATTATAAAAAGCCTCACCTCCTTCAAAAGCGAGCACGCAAGCATCAGTATGTCCTTCAGAGAGGTGTCACGGAATGAGGTAGCTATTTTACGATGTTTTGCTGAAGGTCTTGAATAATCAACCTACAAAAAGTTAGGACATAATAAACAATGCTCCCTTCTTTGCCAAAACTAGAAGATATCTGGCACATTAATTATTTGACACTAGAATTTAAAATTATGGTCCAGCACTAAACACAGATCTTGACAGCTTCCTGAAGCACCTCCTTTTTTCCCTTCAAGGTTGTCTCCCTTTCAGGACGGAAAGGTCTGAGGCACTGCCTCAGGTTAAAACATAGGCAAAAGAAAATCATGAGCAGAAATACAAGTGAAAAAGTTGATCACTGACTTTGCTTTACTAGTCTGAGGGACTGCAAAGAGAGAAACTTTACCCTCTGTAAGGCAGGGTATGTATCTGGCACAGGTAGAGTCCCTGCACTTCGTATTTCTTGTCCCTCTATATATTTTGGCGGGGGGAGGAAGGTGTGTTAATCCCTTCATGTCGAAAATATGTTTCTCCGACCATTTTTATAAAGGGCAGAAATATTCCACATGCTGCTTTACCAACAATACATACACCCTGTACAGAAGAAAAAAAAAAAAAGCTTACTATATTCATTTCCTGAGTCAGTTCTGAGAGAATCATTACTCCGATTATATAATGGTCCACAGTGCCCTATAGGAAAAAACCAAAAAGATAGGATTGCTCAAACATCACAGCTTGTACTTTTCTTACAATTGTGGAATCATGAACAACTTTCAGGCTGAGATACCCTGTGGATATGCCAAATTCTATCAACATTAGTAGAACTAGACCTTCAAACTCCCTACTTAGCTCTGAAAAAAACCCTCATCATAAATTTTAAGAATTGTATGAGAATAAAAACCCATCTGAAAATAGATGCTGAGTAACTGCAAACTAGAAATTCACTATTACACACTTCTCAAACGTCATTCAGTATTCTAGAACTGGTAAGGCAAGCTGCATGAATTTAAACCATTAAAAAAACCAATTAAGCCATGCAGGGATGAAAGAGATCACAGGGCACTCTCAGGGGGAAAAAAAAAAAAAAGATTTTGAAATGCTACCCATCAAAAACCCAATCCTCTTCCCTCCCCAGTAGCACACAATGCATAGGATTGAACTGAACGTTACATTCCATCTCTGAGAACCCGTGTCTGAAAAGTGAGGCAGTAGGTGTCAAATATTTGCATCCGAGGGTGCGATCTGAACACCAGTATTTAAGTTCCTTGGAATGTTTTGAAATTCAGATGCAATGCAGAATCTTGCATTTAATTAATAAAATTTAGCTGTCTTCACTGAGCTACTACAAAGCATTTATAGAAAAATTAAAACTGCTTTCTAGAAACAATTAAAATCAACTTCAATTAGACCTTGTTATTAAGTCAGGGGGAAGTCTATGTTTGCTTTCACAGCTACAGCTTGCAGCCTCAGCTGCCCTGGTGTCCAAAAAGCGATGTCTTGCTTATCAAATTTTCTTACATTTCTCACAACCACACTTATTTTCACAACTCTGAAGATCACCCAAAGTTCCACTAATGAAGATCTGGCTGCTTAGCAAGGGGCCTAACTTTTCACGCTCATCTAGTTTGCATTATCACTTGCACCAAAGCAAAAGTGCAAATTTCAGAGAACTCTCAGGCAAAATTTATATTGTTGCCATGCCTGCATTCAGTAAGATTAAACATCTTATACTGAAATTTGAACAAAACCTTCTTTCACACAGTCCATATGAACATTCCTCAGATCACACAAATCTGGAAGAACAGAAAATGCAACCTCCCCTTTTTCCCAGGTGTGAGGAGCTGTGTGGTGAATTATGAAGAGCTGGGAACAGAACTGCAGACCTAGCTGCTATACTAAATCACACTGGCTGAACTTCAATCTGGAATGCTAACGTCTATGTATTTCAAACTACTATATGCTAATTATTAGCCCAGATTAGTACTGTTTGGGGATTATTTTTTCAATTTTTATCTAAAATTTAATTTACTAGTAGATCTATGGCTTAATTTTCTTTTCTACAGGAATTCTTAATTTAACTAAAGAAATCTCTTAAGAAGCTAAATTTTGTATTTAAATCTCTATTTTTAATGAGCTACACACTGAAGAGTCACACTGCAATCATTTTAATAATAAATGCAAAATCCAATTACAGTACATTCATAAAAATAACTGAAAAATAGTGGAGAAGTATACTCGAGTTTGTTTTTAATAAACAGAATATTGCAACTTATCTTTTATTAGACAATCCCAATGAAACTCAAAAAGTACATTAACTTGAACAGTATTATAAACAAAATAAGACTGAAAAACAAATGAGAAACTCATTGGCCAGAAACAAACCGTTAACTTCCTGTTTTTCTTGTTGAGTTGCCAGGATCACCAACACATACACACACAATATTTGAACAAAATCTACAAATAGCTTCAATGTTCTGATCATTTTTTCCTCAAGATACGTACTAGGCTTTATGTTCACAGACACTTATAAAGATTAATCTGTACTAACTTTTTAAGCAGACTAGCCATCTCCCAGAAACCTTTTTAAGAACCTTTTTATGTATGTTAAATGTATGAAATAACCAAGTCTGACTTAACAGCCCATGCTGTATATCCTGTATCTCTAGACACTGTCTGTACTTACTCTAGATCTGACATGTTAATTTGCATAGAGAAGAGGCCACAGTGAGTGACTACACTCTGACATTAGGAGATATTATTTCCAGTTTTCAAATACTATGTAGCAAGATCACCTCTCTATCCTGAAATGCATCTTCTTTGTAACAGTGACCAATGCAGAAGGGGAACAGGAAATAATGTGGAAGGAAATGTAAAACAAGAACATTCCTGCCTTATCCACTTACTGGAGAGGGAAGATGAGCGATCCTCCTAAACTTCCCATATCCCTACCTAGAATGTCTAATTTTTGTGATATGTTAGATTTAAATAAGTATGCTAAAACAGATAATAAATTAGAGGGGTTTTATAACTTAACCTATCTACATACATTGGACACCATAATCCTAGGAGACAGAGTCTTTTTTTTGGTAGTTTTCTTCTTTCACTTCTCTTTACATGTATGGAGACAGAACATACATACATATGCAGGTACCTAAGTACCCATGGACACAAATATGAGCCATAAATTTCTCATAAAATGAAAAAGGAATGGGCCAAACAAGGACCAGAACCACATAACAAATACATATGGTGTCTTGCAGTGTTGTGTACCACAGTTCTACCATTACACAAGGTTTCAGAAGCAGGGGTATCTCGTGATCTCTGCTAAAAATTGAAGTGCAGATAAAGTCCCACTGCTGATACACAAAAGTAACAATATAAAACCCTAACAGTGAACACTCCAACAAACAGTTTATAAAGGTATCTTTTTGTTCAACCCCCCAAGACAGGCACTTCAAAGAACACATCTGAACTAGTTCCAGAACTGAACGGTTGGGCATAATTTTAGAGGTTGTTATTACAAGAATCACAGTCAGACTCATGGTTTAAAACATTTGAGAGTCTTACTCTTCCCATGGTGCAGCACCAGTGTTTCTAACCCCGTCACTGGATCTAACACTATCAGAAATGTGTCTCCACATCAGCTGAAAAAAACCCAACGCATTACACAGAATGACTTGACGACAGGGGCTAAGGTTTTACTAGCACACTACGGAAAAAGAAAACCAACAAAACCCATGACAGCACTATGAATACTGTGAGGCATCACAACCCACAACCTCGCACAAGTATCACACCCACCCTGGTTCTTCACTGTAGGGCAATCTTCTGTTTTAAGCTTTGCTCTTCACACTTTTTCCACCCAAATGTGTATCAACTAAGTGACATGCCAATCACTAAAAATGAACTCTAACAAAAAAAACTGGCAGAAGTAAACGATTGTTTCCTACCTGCAAAAATTTTTTTACATCATCAATAATGTCTCTGAAGATGAGCTGATCTTTTAGTACCTCAAACCATCCTAATTTTGTAATTTTAGCAATGACTTGAACAAGAGCTTGAATGACAAAAGGAGCCAGTTTGGGTTGAGATGCTACATAGTTCAGAATGTAGTTTCCTGTAAAGAAGCATTTTACAATCAGCAACATGTCTTCTGTAAAGAAAATTAATTCAATGGTTCTAATAGAAACTTAAAGCATGGATTTATAAAACAACTGTATTCTTACAGTTAGTACACTAACTGTAAATTACGTTAAATTATAGAATACTAAACATTTAGTAACACAAAGCACATTACAGACATGATCCTTATTCTGGGCAACAGTTTGTGATTTCAGAGAACACTGGCAGGTAAAACAGAGTCATTTTTCATTACAGTCCCACATACTGACACTGATTATTTCACTACGCAACAGCAGCTCTCACATGCAACTCAAGACACACAGAAGTTTTTTCAGAGAGGAGACCCTACTGAATGTTCTCAGTTCAATGTAGAACATCACTTTGGGTAATGCACACTGCAGCTGCAGAAATTCCTCTCTAGCAAGGAGTAAGTTAACCTGTTCCAAAAGCTGCTGAAATTCACAAAATTGAAATTGATAAATAAATTTTTATCTTAAAAAGAACCTTGGAATCTTATTAGATGCAGCAGATGTCAGCCACGCAGTTCAGAATGCTACCGTCCACAGAACTGATACAACAGTGCAGATTTTCTAAAAGTTCAAATCGACTCATGCACTCCTTGCGCAAAGCCGTTCACTGTTAAAGACCTAACACAAACTTGCTTCGTCTTTTAGGACATAGCAGTGACTTTAACCATAAATGCTAAAAAGTAAGGAAAATATTGTAGGATCTTAATCCTGCAAGTAAGAACTTGCCCTCGTGTGACTTTTACCAACGTGAAGAGCTGATCATGAGCAATGTTACATGTAAGTGACTGGTGGGTGTAATAGCAATATCTGCAACATTTATCCTTTACAAACATGCACTACATCTCTTTAGTTTGTGGGCTAAATAAAAAGTCTACCTTGAAAAAAGGAGTATTGTTTTAAAATATGAAGTAATTTGAGCTAACATTTATTTTAACTTTGAAACTAGGAAATGTTACATGTGAGCTAACTGCAGACAAAGGAAAGAGCTCACAATCACTTTTACGTTCAGTCTCTCACAATGACTACCCTATGAATAACAGGTTCAGTAAATGGAGACAACTCGAGAAAAAACAGACTATCCACTGAAGTATTACTGTGCTAACATGAAGGGTTAGATCCAACTACTACAATGAAGTTTTAACCACAAGCGTTACTTACGAATGTCAATCCTTTGTTCGATAGGTAAAGGAGATGCCCTGCTTACAAGCTTAGACAGGCATGTTGCTGCTAGAAGCTGAGCATAGGACATCTACAAAAACACATGGAAAGATATTATTCAAAAATAGCCTCATCAAAGGCAGAGGCAGTAAGTCAACACCTGATAAATAACCAATAAACTAGGTGGGTTATCAGGTTTTGTTTATATTTGTTAAAAAGTACCAAACTTTATAAAAGATCTAATTTAGTAATATCTTTGTTTCATTATAAATAGACATAAATTGCAAAACACTAATAAAATAGTGGAGACCTAAAAATATCATCCCTTTTGATGGAAATCATTAATCTGAAAGTAATTTCACTGTTTGGTGGAGTTCTTTAGTTCTGAAACCTGTTTCTGATAATTTACAACCATTAGATGATTACCATAGGTCCAGCCCTGGATTAAAGATATTTTCAAATATCTTGATTTCCTCTTTTTCTTTCCCTCCCTTTTTGAATCATTCGAAAAACACAGCCAGAATTATACTGGATTTACCTTGGACTATCAAATCAGAATCAACTGCCCTACCACTTTATCTAGAGATAACCATGAAATTAAACACCAAAAATGAAACTGAGTAATGATAAGAGAATGGATAGGCAGTTTAAGGATTTTTTAAATAAATTTTTTAATCTTTGTAGCCAATAGCTAGAAACAAGAACAAGGTGATGTTCGAACACCAGGTTATACCAAACTGTGTCCCAACACTGCTCTACAGGTAGCACAACCCGATTACACCCCTTCTGAAAGTACTGATTGCTGTGATGCTTTCCCTTTTTGTCCCTGACATCTCTAATACAAGGTGTTGTCACTTCTACAAAGACTGACTCCAAATGAAAAAAAACCCCAACTTCTAGATTCATTTATGACAGTATGTACAGAAAAGGGAAAAGCATTTTTCCTGACATGGTAATGGTTGATGACTGAGAAACTTCTGAGAGCTTCCATGAGCATGGTTACACTTAGAGACAACACATCTTACAGATACTTACTGTTCCTTGTTCTAATAGAAGTTGGCATTGGCTAAGACATTCTGGGCTATCAATAAGCTCCAAGAGTACTTTCTCCGCCTGCATTCGCTGTGCTGGATCAGTTCCTTCATACAGGTGATTACATAGTACTTCTAGTTCTGCCAGACTCTGTTAGGAAAGAACACAGTTGAAACTTCCATGAAGATCTTCCACCATATAAGATTTCTTTAAGTGTTTAAAAACCTAGATACTGTACCAGTAACATGAACTGTTACCCCCCCATTCTAAGCTTTCCAATTGCTTCACTTTTAAATTACAAAAAAAAAAAAAGCAGGCTTTCTGTGATCAGAAGATAAAAATAACTCAGAAAATGAAGTTTCTGATAAGCCATTTCTTACCCTCTCAGCTACCAAAGTATTTTTTAACAAGGTTCAATCCTTCTGTTTTTCTGAGTCTTCAGATGGGAAGTTCATAGCTTTTCCAAAGAGAGATGAAAAGATGAACAGTGAAGAGTTTGAGCTACGTTACTTGGAAAACTTCTAGCAGATTTAATTCTAAAAGCTGTAATTACTCATCAAATTGCTACACTTGGAAAAGTGTATCCTTCCTATGTGAGGGATATGATTTGTATCTACTAGTCCCTGTCTTACAGGACAGATGAGCCCTCTGCGTACATTTGAGAATCCTTACACACATGGAAGTTTCAGGTTCCCACAGCCCACAGAACTTTCATCAAGAACCAGGCACCTCATTAGAAGGTGCCCAGTAAATATTTCATGACTTGAGTGTGGCCTAGAAAGAAGAGTAAAAGAGAAAACACAGTATTTGACCGGTCTCATTTAAAAGTTTGAGTGAAAATCCCATTCACCAGCCCTTCCAAAAAGATGTTTTGTACTTGAAATAAAAGATTTTGTTCCACACCATCTAGCATCACTTTTACTGTAGCTCAAATGCCTTTTAAAAATCCAAGACAGTAACTGTGTCTTTGGCAACCAAAGCACACTTGATTTTGTCAAAGCATGTAATTTCCTAGAGACACACTTCTTACCACAAAAAAGTAACCATGGTCTTTTCCTTTCTGCTTTAATTGTTGTGCATATGGAGTCCCTGGCTTTGATCAGCTTTTTCTGAATTTCAGTAATAACGACACTTTAAGAGTCCCTGATTTTCACTCAAAAAGTAGCTATGTACTTGTCCCTTTGGAGAAATTTTAAGAAATGGCACATTTGTTTCTGGAATGAACAGATCAAATACCTCAAAGACAGCTCAACAGATACATCCTTTGCTTTTGTTACACAGATCCCCCCGCCACGTTCAGAGAGATCAGAGTTAAAATAAGCAACAGGTAACAATCCCAGTAATGCCATTTTAAGTGAAGCAAGATCCATGCCAATTAAACTGAAAATTAAGACTCATAATATGCAAGCATACACATTAAGGAAAATACAACTGAAAAAAACACATAATTGGGATAAAACATGGGAATAAGGGCACGTAGGAAACACCGACTTCAGACATAAATTACAATGTATCTTTCCATAACGGAACAATTCCAATACAATCTGACGAGCATGAACCAAATTATCATGTCACATGCAGCAGAAGTTAAAGACCCTCCTTTATCTGATCTGAAATTCGACTTCCAAGCCTCGACAAACTTGGCAACAAGTCCGAGAAAGTGCAGCAGAAAACTGGGCTATCAGCCCAATCACCAAGATCTAACTCATCTGTAAAGTAACTGGCATTAAAATAGCAAACCTCTGAAAGACAATGAGGGAAACCCACCACCAATTTTTAAAGCAAACCTGAAGAAAAAATAGATCATGATCTTCAAAGAAAAGTTGGTTTATCAGATACTGAGACAGATGACATTCAGCACTTTGGAATGCTTTATCTGCACTTGGCTGGTCTCAGGAGAATGTTGTGATAAAGTTTCGTATTGGTAGGCTTGAGGTATGCCCAAGAAATTCTCATACTGCCAAAGAACGTGTTAGGTGTTCTCTGGGTTGTATTTTATGTGTAGGACTCAGGATACGTGCTGATTTTCCTTCATTCTGATAGTGAAACCAAAAAATACAACCTGCAATTAGCAAGTAGAACCACCTTGTGCATGATGGCAACTCAGCTGAGCAATAGGGATATTATTCAACTTTATTAACAAAAAAATACTTGGAGAAACCAATGAGAAACCAGCTCTAGGTATTAGAGATACATGTGCTTCAAGGAAACAGAAGACTCACAATCCCTTTTAGTTCTGAGACAAAATGTGTGAAACCGATGCCTTCGGATACCTCCTTTATTCAAACTCTTATCAATAGCTTAAAAGCAACTCCTAAGAAACCAGCAACAGTGTCAATGAAGAGGATCTAGCAGTTAGATGCTGGCTGCTTCGAGTGAGTCAGGAGTAGAAACAGAGCTGTGTAAGAAGCAGCATTTTCTATCACCAAGAAGTGTAAGTTTTCCCAAGAAAGAGATTCACATTCTAATGAAAAAGATTAGATACTGTGATTTTTTTTTTTCCTACTTGTCTCACTTTCATAATATTCAAGAATAAGCTGAAAATTCTCCAGATACTTCTGGTTGCACCTCTCAGCTCTCAGAAGCCGCTGGCAGCTCTCCTGCGAGCCTGTCACAGAACCGAGGGCCAGAAATGCTGGGGGCCCGGCTCCGTAGCAACCCACCAGGCAGGCAGCCAAGGAGGCAAGTAAACTGGCAGGAAACCAGGTAGGTTCCTGATTAGAGTTCTGCTGACACTGACAAATTCCCACAGACATTTCGGTTTTAATCAGCGTTTTCTGACTGAAAATGTTCTATAAAGAAAGTTCCACGAGCTTGACGCAAGAGCAACAGGATGGGCATAACTGCTGAGATGCCACGGTTTAAAAACAGAAAAAAAACGAAAAGGAAAAAAGCCGTTTGGGTATGAGGTGATAACAAAAGATATTTTAGTGGTCCTTTCATTTGAATGAATGCCTACAATGGCCTCTCTAACTGTGAAACGGCAAGGGGCTCCTGATGGATGCTAAAGACCTCAGCGAGTGACTTCTGAGGCCCTTTCCCGCCCCACCCTTCTTCTTCCGCTGTTTGAGGCGGTTTCAGGGGCCGATGCTCACCTCAGCCAAGTCCTGGAGAGGGGCTGTCCGGGAAGAAGTGGAACAGGGAGCCCACCAATGCGCTCAGGGAGAAGTGCAACGGGAGAGCAGGTGCGGCTAGCTCACACGGGCAGC